ACAATTTTTGTAAGATTATTAGATGATATCTTTACGGGTTTTTTTTTTTAAATTAAATTTACTTTTAAATAAAAATATTTTTTCTTAGCATACGAGGACTAGACGCTTTATTTGAAGAGACTTAAATAACATATTTTCTTTAGTGAACAAATAGACCTGATTGCGCTTGACTGAGTGTGTAAGTGCATACTAATCATCTCAACATTTGAATATTCTTTACATTGATTTAATATTTTCAATTAGTTAAGTTTGTATACCTCTATTTATGTTCACACGATTTTAGTAAAAGAAAATTTTAATAGTTTTTTTAAGGCCCAAGTGTTGTTACTTTCGTTTATTTGTTTTACTATATATATTACTAGAAGTGATAGTATAAGATTTATTTAGGTAATTAAGTAAAATTTAAGCTTTTGAAGGAATCCATTATGTTTTTCTTTTATTAAGTCATTACAGTTTAAAAAACCACCATTTATAAATGGATTCTTTTGTTCATAGCTGTTTGTTGCATATCTTTAATTTCAAAATATTCTGAAAATAAAATGTACGTATAATGCCTATGTATTTATTTTCTTTATAATGAATGAAAAGAATAATAAAATGAAAGGTAAAACTTATGGTAATAATCAACATTGATGTCTGTTTGGATTTGAAATGCATTTGTGAAATATAACATGTAATTTATTCTCATGTACATAGTAAATGTCATAAATAAGCAAATACGTCATAGGTGAAATTAAATTGTACAAGTTATGTGTGAATCGGAAACAGTCTATATAGTAACATATTTTACGTTGGTGCATATTGTCGAGACTATTTTAATTTTAATGAAAAAAAGGTTTTGAATTACATTTGTTTCACAGTCCCTTTGGGCATATCCTGGATTTCATCACAATGCTCTTGTTTTAAGTTAATTATTCGACTATTGAACAGTACGTAAATGGTTTTTATTTTACCTAATCGAATTGTATTATTATTGACAATGTGTTCGTTTAAGCTTTTTTTACATTGTAATGGACTTGTGCCAAACATTAGGTATTAGTGAGGTGAAAAAAAACCACAGTTAAAACATTATTACTTATTACTATAGCCGACAGTGTATTATCTTTGGAAAGTATCCAATGTGTGACTACTTCCCTTGGTAGAAGAGACCCATTTGTCGGAAATCGAATTTATTACGACAGGCTAAGATAATTATACTTTTTTTATTTATAACTAAGCCATGTCAATCATCACCTGCTTTTTAAATTTTTTGTATTAGGTAGAAAAACAAAATTGGACCGTTTTTATTATCTTGCGAGAAGATAAATATATTTTCTTAAACAATAAAACAATATACATAAATTTTTCAATTTTTTTACAATGTACTTAAAATATATATAATGTAAAATTTTATGACACATTCTTATTAAAAATAAACCTCGTTTGTGTTAAGCATAAAATTAATTCAACATTTTTTTGTGTATAGTAAAGAAGATTCACAAAGAATCTCAATATTTTAAAATTGCTTTGTAAAATGTCAATTATGCGAGATTTTGTTTAATAGTTATTATATCATTTGAGAAAGGTAAATCTATTTGACATTACGCTGTCAATAAATAAATGTTTTGAGTAGTTATCAAGAAATAATTTAGAAGTCTTGGCTAAATTCCTCTGCGTAAATATTAATGCATTTCTATACAATGAAATATATACTACTCAACTACTATTAATCACAAATGTATCAAAAAGAGTTAAATTTATTTACTAGTTGAATATTTCATCTTCATATTTTTAGTTATCATATCTTAAGTTATTATTTATTTTTTTTTTAAATTTGGGCGATAAAAAATAAAATGTATCTTAAAAATAAATAAGTAAACAAATGTATACCTAATTAAAATGTAACGCTAAAATAAAATATTCTTATTTTAAGTTTCAATTTTTAATTTTGACTAAAAAGACATTTTTATTTAATTTAAAAATTTAATAAAACACAAGTAAAAAAAAATTAGTACCTTTTATATCTTCTCACGCATCAATATTATTTATAAACATTAATCTGCAATTATTGTAAATAAAAATAAAAAAAAAAGATATATTTTTTTTAGTTTTATTTAAACTATCTAAAATATTTATTTTCAGTATTTTACTACATTAGTTTTAACAGCTATTTTATTTAGCTTTTTTCTTCTTCGATGTGCTGAATTATTGGTGGCTCTATTTTATGTAGTTAAACAAAACGCTTTCAAATCGATAGAAATCTTAAAATGTTAATATTTGTTCAGTGAAATATCTCATTTAGAACTGACTAAAGAACATTTTAAAAAGATTAAATTTTGTGAATAACAGATACTTAAGATTCTGTACAAATATTTTTGTAATAAATATATAAATTAATATAATGTAACAAAAAATTAATTAACTAATTTATACGACATTTAAATTATCTTTTTAAGATTGACTTAGACACAATTTCTTTACCTAAAAAGAAAAATGTTGAATTTTTTTTTCCTCGGAAATTATGATTATTGATTATAGATTCATTGCAAATTTTTTCTTTAAAAGTTTTAAAAAACAAGTATTGAAGTTTTTATCATTAGATTGCCAAAAATGATTAGTCATATTGCTTTCAAACTCGCGTATCCTATTTTAAAACAGAAAACATAAGAATAATATACATCAATATTGTCTACGATCATTCTATTTTTTAGATGATATTTATAGTTTCTACATTATAGTTTCTTTTTTGTGATATGAAAAATCGTAAAATTTTTTTCCATTGCACTAATATTTGCATCATTGTGTTTATAGTTACTATGATTAAAATTAATTTCTTATAATGGAAAAAGGTAAAAAAGTTTATATTTTATAAAAAAATTTATGGAACAGTTACCTAAACTATATTTCTCTAATATAAAAAGATAAATTTATTTTAGTAGTTTTAGAATTTTATCAAACTAAAAGATATTAATATAGAACTATTATGTATCACTGTAAAAAGTAAAAATACATTAATAATATTGGACTTATTGGGATAAATATTTTGTTTTTAAGGCGAGTTATAAAGAAAAATTATTTATTCGTTATTAATTATAATATGATATAGAGTATTGAAAGTCTGCAGTTATATATTTACCATGGTACTTTCTGGAACTACATAGAATTCCCTTAAAGAAAACATCGTTTTCTGATAATTACTTTTTTTTGTAGTTTTAATTGCGTTTTTCTTTGAAGGGCCTAAATGAGTATTGAGATAAATAATGTAATAAATTTACTGGCCTATAGGTTACGAAAGTTTTTGAACATTTTAATAAATCGACTGCACCCGTCGCCGACCATTGCTTAAGGCAAATGACACTGACAAATATACAGTTTTATTTTCCAACCCCTATATATTTTTTTGTATTGTTTCAGCAGTTAGTGGTGGTTTATATATATTTCCACCTGAATGCATTAAAACGTGCCAATATTCTCTCTTTGAAATGCAGAAAATATTATTATAAAAATTTGATGAAACGGAAATGGTGTCTTTGAAAATCTTTGGAGTATATTCAAAAATAATTAGTTATTAAGCGAATCGATTATAAAAACAAATTTATAAATATAAAACGTTACGTGTATATTTGTAAACATTATGAATAAAACATATAATAGGTCAGGTCTTCTAAAATTCATAGTTTGTTTACATGGTTTTGTCCTAATCAAACAAGTTTAATCGGGTCATAAAACTTTACATTTCAGTGTTATCTTTAGTGCAGTTCACGAGAAAGTAAAATAATTATGAATGCTCTGGGTCTATTAATCCTTTGATAATGCACCTGGCGTTAGTGAAACACACATTTACACTAACTTATCTTCTTAACTCTAACTCTAGACTAAAAGCACCTTTTTCCAGTCATTAAGTCCTTTCTAATTAATAACTTCCCAAACCAAATCATATAAAATACCCACATGTACTTGAAATATAAATTTTAAACATGCACATTTTTTTTTAAGAAATCATATACGTTGTAATCTTATCATATTGATTTTGAATTATTGTTTATTATAACTTAAAATATATTTATTAGTGATGAATATATTTATTGATATAAGCTAATAGTCTATTTTAATTAAAACTCAACTATATTAAAAATATATATAATTTATTTTATTGGTTTATCAACATTATAAAACTTTTGATATGGAAATTTCCTTATTATACGTAATACAGGTAACTTTTATTAAAATGACTTGGGGATTAAAAAATGTAAGTCAAGTTTATTAATTTAATTTTACGACTTATAGCATGAAAACTTTTGAAAATGAGTAATGTCTTTAGTTTTTAAATCTTGAAAAGTGTTTAATTATTTTATATTGACGACGACAAAGAACTTAATTATTACAATTTTTAGATCTATTTAGATATGAGTTCAAAGAATCGTGGACAAAAATTTTAGAAACTTCAGCATATTTAATTCTTCTGTTACTATGACAGACTATTTTATAAGTTTTATAATATTTGTGTAATCATGAATATAATTTGTACACATTTTAATTCACCTATTAACTAAAAACAAAAATAAATGTTTAAATTTCTTCCTACTGGAGCAGTTTATTATATATTGCATAGTCCTTAGCGTTTTATCTAATCTTAATACTTGTCATACATCGATTTGTAAATACTCTAGTGTCGTAATCAAAAACGGGCAAATTTTTAATTACTTGATTACATGTGTCTTATAATAAAAATGTACAATTCCTTTACAATGTTTGTAATAACATAAAATGATAAGTTAATTAAATGCGTTAGTATGGTAAATTTTGAGTTACTACACTTAAGTACTAACAGTCCGACATAATAAGTATAAATTATTGTTTTATATTATGAATTAATAATTTACTCTTAAAAATATACAATTGTTAATTTAAAAATTATCTTTATAAAGAATTAAATTATATACTATTAAATTTGTCCTAATTATTAAAAAGCTATTATTTTGATGTATAGTATTAATAACATGAAATTTTAATTTTTTTAGGAGTACTTGGAAGCAAAGGTAGTAAAACTTGAGTCGGAATTGATCGCTGAAAAAAGAAATGTTCAGCGAGAAAAAACGTTAAATTCAAAACTTCAAAAGCAACTAGCTCGGGTAAGTGTTGTAGTAATATAATTTTTTATATTTATATATAGGATCTGACGTGAAAATGCATATTATTATTATTATTATTTGGCGTAGGGAAGCAAACGGCGGTCACTTAGGCAAATGAGGGTTGCCCGCACGTTGTCATGGATACAATCCGTGCAACCTTTTGTGCTGCAACTCTTTGTGGATGTCGGCCGCCGATATTGAATTCTCCAGCAAATATCACCTTCCCCTTACTGATGTTTATCGTAGTTCCTCTTTTTCTATATTTTGTAACAGATAATAGAAAACATTGTCATGCATATTAAACAAAATATAAGTTTTTTAATCTTGTGGTCTGACATTTTTATTTATATTTAAAAATATTTTTTTGTTTGTATCATTTTCTTATATCTAAAAAGCCTGAGTTATTATTTTTTGATAAAACATTTACCTCATATCTTATTATATTTTAACACAATTTTTTTCATATTTGAAAGTTGTCTTTTTTTTACAGCAGCTATATTTTCTATCATATTTAAAAGCGATATCAAGTATTAGCCATGATTATTTTGAAAAGTGATCGAGACTTAGGTAGTTCGTTTATTTTGTTTTTTTAAATAAAGTATTGCATAATTCAATATAAATATTAAAATAAAACTTTTCTCAAAAATACTTTTATACACATTTTTGATTAAATGATAAAGAGTCTGAACTGTTTAAAGAAAATTAGATTTATGAACATTTTTAGAGATTTAGCAAAAACTTATGATAGGAGACCTATTGTTGTATATAGTTTATAAATTTTGTGGTTCCAAACGGTCAAATACGTATGATTTATATATGTACTTTATGATACATGTGAATGGTATGAAATATTTAATCGGGTCACTTTTTCTTTTTTCTCAAGACATAAAACATTTTTTCCTGACATCTTCAAATTTGTTCGTACATTTATAACTACGATATAAATTTCATAAATTTGGAACTTTTTTATATTATTGAGCAACTAAATTATAAGTTATTATTGTATTATTTTTTCTCTAAGTATTTTATATTTCAATGATTTTAATTTACACATTTTTTCCTAGTGTATAATATAATTTATTTTCTGTTAATAAATAATAGTACTTCAGAGGTAATTATTTTGATGCTATAGCAGGTAGAAGATATTTAATTAACATATTACTTACTGTTATTAGACTATTGTTAACAATCACTTTTTGAATTACTCATTTAAAATGTTTCATTGGACATAGCCACGCGAGCTGATGAGTTTAATCCTCGTTTAATTTCAAATAGTGCTTCATTTTATCGTATTAAACAATAAAGGTATAGCAGTACAATATGTCAAAAGGGCAATACCAATAAAGTTTACAGCGTAACAATGACAAGGGATGTGCTATTTGATGAGGGTATGGTGGAATGTTTTTGATGTTACAAATACTGATAAAAATTCGTTTTTATACTAAAAATTAGTTTACTCGCTTATTAAATTCTCTGGCACTAGAAATTTATTGATTGCATAAGCGTAATTAATAAAAGTAATTATACATTTAAGTCGTCTTGGAAAATAAACCATGTAAAGCATATCAAAAGTGAAATCTTATTTAACTTCAATGTCTTAACATGCTTTAGTTTTAGCATGTTGGTGTTTGAGTTTTAATTGAAGTTCACGCATGTTGGTCAACTTAATTGTCTGAGGAAAGAAATTTCTACTATCTTACTATACGTATGTGTATCGTTATTTGTTCTACGATGTAAACAGTTATATTTAAGTAGTTGTACAAACTTTTGATAGTGTCCATTAATAACCATTTTCGACTTAGTAGTTTCACGTTTCGATTTAAAGACTTTGGACCTCAAAGTACTTATGTCTGATACATTCTTTGATTCTATGGATAAATGAGTGTAATTACACTTTGCAATACGTATTTTGGGTTAATTTATAAAAAAAACTCTTCACAATTGAACTTTATATTTGATTATTTGGGATTTAAAATATTTACCATATTCATAACATATTGTCCAATTGTACTGGAACGTTATTTAGCTGTGTATTTAAAATATACAGAACAGACTTTATAGTAGGTCTTTTTCCTGGTAGATAGGCATGTCGTATAATCGTTTGATAAAAATTCATGGATCGAAACTTCTTCAACCAGAAAAATAGCTTATAAATATTATAACGACCCTTTGAAACTACACGTTAAAATAAAATTGACTGAACGAATATCTAAAATAATTCAATTTCTTTGTTTATTTTTTGTGTATTTAAAGTTCAGTTATACTTTTGGCAGTGTCCCCTTGGTACAGGTTTCATTGGTACGTTTAAATATTAATTCTCAAATATTTTTTTAATATTTATACCATTATTCTTAATTGAACTATTTTCATTAGTATATTGCTGTGATAAATTTGTATAATGCTGTTACCAACTGTGTATTAATTGTCCAATCACAAAGCGTCTCTTGCGCAACTAGTAATAAGATATCAATAATAAAGATTATAATTAATTATAATTAAAGACTGAAAATTTGAGAATTAGGTTTTAACGATAAAATAGTAGTTTAACCTTTAGCCCTTATTAAGTTTTATAAAATACTGGCTATTCTACAGTTAATTTTGCTTTTTTGTTATCTAACTATATGGACTTAAAACAAACATTAAATCTAGGCAATAAAATCATTATTAATTGCAAAAAGTTTTATTATTTCAAACATTTCTTGTAATTATACTGTCAATTACAATTAATATTAATCGCATGAGGACTACTAAAAGCAATTCATGTGTAAGTTAACTTTGAAAAATAAAAACCATTTTTTCTTATGGTTTTATTTACTCTCAAATAAGTAGTTGAATTTTGATTTACGTTCTCAAAAGCAATCCCACTTTTAAGAGTCGGATCTTACCGCTTTACTAAAATTTATCGCGTCGGAACAGAAAGCTAACGGATCGCGTGGTATAAGTCGGCAAATACTGTTTTCACTGTTACCCCTCACCTGTGCCTATGGCGTATGTATTGGAACCCTGCGGAATTTCTTAAACATCCGGCCGAGGTATATAGGATTTTCCCGGTAAAACATCAATCATCAAATGCTGCTAGTAGCTTTTCCGTATCGCGGTTGGGGGAAGTAAAGACCGAAACAGGGAAATACAATTGTAAGTCGTTCGAATCCCTTCGTCTTTAATATAAATTACTTCTTCGGTTTTTCCTGTTCGGACTTTCGACAAAAATGGGAAGGCATAAAATTGTGTTGTGATCCAGAGTACAACCAATCCAATTTATATATCTATGGGAGAAACTGTTTTTAGCCATTTTATTCTTTTTTTTTTTTTACAATAAATATATCAGTTGTTAGCTTTCAAAGAAAAATGACCCTTTTATGTGTAAGTTATTTCAAATTACACAACTCAATTTATTAGGAATGTTGTACACCTATTTTGTAAAAGATTAGTTATAAAACGTTGTAAGCATAAAATTGACGTTTTTATTATTCGTTTTAAAATTGGAACTTCATTTTAATGAATGTCTATAGATTTAAATAGCTATCACTAAAATTCGTATGGAAAAAATTTGTTCATAAATAAAACCTAATTTGTAACACATTTATTTTATTTTTTTAAATATTTCTTTGAAATAATATAAACTGATTAATATTTTCTTCTTGTCTTACTTATTAAATACTTTTTAAATAGTTTTAACTTTATTAACAAATAAAAAAATCAGTCATATTGGATAACAAAAATACAAAAACACTAATTTAGATAAATACGTCTGATAACAATGGAATTGTTATCAATAGTCTGACCATCTTATTTTTTAATTGGAATAGAAAACTTATTCAATTAGATGTTACAGTACATTATATGTGTTTCTTTTCTATTATTTTTTCTATAAGTTATTTTTTGTTTTTTATTTTTCCCCCTTCGGAAAGGGATAAATCTAGTAGCCATTAAAAAAGCTTTCTTGTTCGTATACTTGCCACTAACATTACTTTTTGTCAATTCAGGACCGATTTTACGCGCCACCAACCAAACGGAACGTTTAAATCGCGTTTTGTAGTTGAAAAAATAGATGGTCGCACTTAGATAAAATAAAGTAGTCAATTAACGCAAAACCGTTAGGAAATACTGCATAATAACTCTACCGAAGATAATCCTTTAGAGTTATCTTTCAATACATCATATTTACTATCTATTTTCTACTTCCTACAAATATTTACTCAGTGATAGACATACATTTATTTTTAAATTTAACAATATGTACAGCATTAAATATATTTTTCATAAAAAACATTACATTTTATAGAGTTACCATAAATATTTCTAAACCATTAATTTTACAAATTTATATTAAAAAAAATTTCATTAATATCATTTTATTTATCCCTTGATATATTTATTTTTCTGCTAAAATTTACCAACATCGTTGCAAATAAAGCAACGATTTTAAAATGAATACAAATATGAAAAATAATCATTTTGTGTAAATAATAGTTATAAATAATGTCTTTATAGTTTATTGAAAATAATTTTTTTATTTTCTAATGATCTTTACAAATGAAATGACAAATTTACTTCAAATCATAATACTATTCATTTATGTCAGTTTTAAATTGTTTGTTGATTTTATTATTTGTCTTAACAGTGTATGGTTAACTTTCTTGTGCTTCTGTCACGCCATTTTGGTACCTACGTTCATTTTATATATCGTTATCAATAGAAGTTAAATTACTCAACACCATATTTTTTATCCGTCATCTCAAGGCTATTACAAACTCTAAAGCATACCCTTTTGATAGTCGTTACTTATTCATCATTCTATAGGTACCTTTATGTTCTTGACGTGTCCTTTGACCCCTGTGGTATTTCTAAGGTGTTATTAGACAAAAGTCGTAGTTTGATAATAAATATTTTTTATTTGGTCAAATTCATAATTCACGATCAATTTTACAGTTGTATATTTAAATATTCGTCAGAAGATTTTAATAAACTATTAAGTTTTTACGTTTGTGATCCATTTA